TCGTCCAAGTGGTATGCCGAAGCTGGACAATTGGTGCGTACGGTGTAGGGCATGACATGCCAACGGTCACGGAATAGACTTCTGTTCGCTCTAAATGTGACATACGATGCTTCACGGCCTGGAAGGCTCTATGGCGCAAAGTCCATATTGATTGCGTTGCCGCGATACCCTGTTCCACTTGCCAATCTTCCCACCTTCTGAAGGAAGGAGAAGAAGACAGGAGACTTTCAGCAGTTGAAAACTGTACTCTTTGCATGAATATAGGATAAATGCCATCGGAAAGGCATTGACGAGTGCCAAGAACCGGATGAAAAACAAGACTTGAATATCGGGGTAGAAGGGCACTTTGAAGATTGCGCCATTTGTACATGTAGGGAGACTTTCAGTGTCTGCCAAACAGAAACCTGCGGACCATAGTTAGTGTCAGCCATTTCAGTTTGGACCGTCTGTAAACATACACACAAACGGACAAGCATAGTTTGAGAGAGCTTAGAAACATCCTCCTGTTATGCCAGTTGTAGTCCAGTTGCTAGGACGTGCTGAAGACAGTTGCTGACGCATAGGTTGTGAGGCCTTGAGGACGAGATACTGGTGCCGGATCAGTTGAACCGACGGTCTGTTGCGACTCGCCAACGGTGGTGCTGAGCGGGCCTAGGGAACTGTTTACTCCCCCATAATGGATACCACTTGGGGGCACCGTGGCTAGCGTTGCCACGGCCTGACGTCTGGAGTGAAGAGGAACGAGCCCGAAGGTGAGAATCCGCAGGAAGGTCTGTCGAAATGTCTCGTTGCAGAGTGCGTAGAGGACTGGATTTATTGTGGAGTTCAGATAGCACAAAGAGTAGCCTGTTATCGAAAACACAAGGGAGGGACATGGCTTGAATCTATCATACTAAATAATAATAATAATAATAATAATAATAATAATAATAATAATAATAATAATAATAATAATAATAATAATATAGTAATAATAATAATAATAATAATAATAATAATAATAATGATCCTAAACGAAGATATGAAGATGGAGATGGTGTGGCCTTTTGTATGGTCACGGTCTCCTTTCGCTGCATACCAGTTGTTTGAACATGTTTTCGCAGCTTGGTCATATTGGCAGGAAGACCTAGAGGAACTAGAGGTAAACCCACCGAAAGCAGATTTCCATCATACCAAACGCCACACCACATTGATCTTCATATCTTCCATGGCTGTGGCTAGTTGCTACGCTATCTTATAATTACTTAGAATAATCGTTGTCAGTTGCGCAACTTT